TATCCAGTGTAAACAAAGTTATAACTGGAGTGTTTAGTGAGGTTAACCCTATCCAGGGTTAGTAGTCTCCAAGACCAAAAATATTCAAGCACTTTCAAAGATTTTTTTGAGAACAATCAGCTGTCGAAAAATTGCGAGTGTAAGCACCATTTTACCAGTATTGAAGCCCCTACCAAATCACATCCTAAAATGCGCCTTTTCGTCAATATTTGCAAACTGAATCTAGCTTCAATCAATCTATTTTATTAGCTAGGAAATCGTATAATCAATTCCTCACTAAAGAATTCAAAGACTTTTAAAGACTTTCTTCGCTTTTTCACACAATTCAAAAACTTTTCAAAGACCTTAAAGGCCTGCATTCAAATTTAAAGACTTTCAAGGATTTCAAAGACCGCTACGAACCCTGCTATCTACCAGTTGAAGAGTATTTGTATATGGAAATTTTCGAGTTTAAATTTTATACAATTTTCAGACCTATAACCAGGAGCAACTGCGAAAAATGGCGCTATATAGGCCAACTGGCGGGACCAGTGGCCTTGCAATTCCGGTTAGAGCTCGACAACTGGACTCTGTAGCTCAGTTGGTTAGAGAAAAACCCTCGAAGCACAAGAGAGATCAACTACGACAACTTAACTCACATGAAACGCAAGTCCAAGCCTATAAGAGAGGCAATGAGTAACCTATACTGCGCTTGCTTTCATAGTTAAGGAATGCACGAAAATGAATGAATCGCGATTTAAAATTGTTCCAGGGATCTTTTATTTCTTAGTTCTTGCTCACTATTTGAACAACTCATTGTTCGTCTTAGTCAGCATTACATCAAAACTACCATCAATATCAATCAGGTTTCACGGTGTTATGCAGCTGTATTGATAATAAGCCAAATTACCAGTGTATAAGTACGTAACATCCAGCAGTGTGTGCCCAGCTTGATAAAATAGCCACAAAAAAATTCTTGGGCGCTATAACATTAATAGCCAACGGCTCAGCGTGATATATATGAATATATACTTCGTATACCAGTTTAGAACACAACATACAACACAAGTGCTTTCATTATTAACTTAGCTGTGAGTTTTTGTTTAAAAACTTCAAGACTGTGGTGAATATGTGTGTTCAAATGTGTAGGGCGGACACATTTTTGTGCAAAGTATTAAAATAGACAAAGTTTTCAAACACAGATGTAGTTTGTTTGTTGTTTGCGTATCAGGAAACAATAAATATTCATTTGCAAGTTGGTTGAGGTTTAGTCAAAAACTCAGTTGGTAGTTGTTTATATTCCTAGTGTTTTTGGCACACATCTAAATGTCTTCCAATGTTTTCCTTAATTCAATGAATATTAATCAGGGGGCGGCGGTTGAACAAAGGCCATACTCTGAGGGTCGTACTATCCACTGGATAGCGTTGCTGCTATATAACCCAGACTAAACTTTAGTATTTATAAATTAAAGTTTCTTTTTATTATTTGTGAGGTTCATATCCACAGCTTTGCAGCTTTTGAGTATTTTTACCACGGTTGAAAAAACTGTCCAGTGCCAGTGGATAGCGCTAATGAAAAGAATAACTTAAAAATATTGCATTCATTTGCAATGTATGGTATCGATAGGCAATTCCAGCTTTTAGATTATGCGTGCAGGGGTGATGGGAACTGGGAAGTAAGGTATCATATTGTTGATTATGCTGAAAAATTTCAATAAAAACTACCGAAACAACCGAAATATTTCGATATTTACAAGTATAAGCTATCAATCCGTGTTTACACGGCCACCATTTTTGTTTTTTTCAGCACAATCAGCAATATGATACCTTACTTCCCATCGTCCCCTGCACGCATAAACTAAAAGCTGGAATTGCCTATTAGCCTTTCTCACAGCCAATTTTTCCGCCATTTTGGGGGTACTGCCTCCTCTTCCACGTTTGAGAGTCTCCGCACCACGAACGAAACGCGACTTTTTAATTAGCCTTTCTAATTAGCCTTTCTCACGAAGGCCAAAATCCGCCATTTTTGGGGTACTGACAATTAAAAGTCGCTTTTCACGTTGTTTGAATTGTCTAGAATATTTCACGAGGGCAGACAGTACTCCAGAAATGGCGGATTTTGGCCTTTACCCAATAAAGGTAGGTATTCAATAATGAAATTGGTAACATTGAAGTGAACCTTTAATTCCTTTATATTAACATCAAAGCTCCCTAATTACATAAAGAACTGTCATCAATATTGTCCCATCATCAAGCACCATCTACCCATGAAAGTCTGCTGTGGTGTTACCACACGCTTATATGCAGTAGTGGACACTAGGGCCCAATAACTTCTGAAAGATTATTTTGTGTGTGTTGGTGTTATGTACTCAGGGGAATATGACGTTTGGGAAGCTAACTTTTCAGCTTGCCCGATGTGGATGCACACTCAGAGTAACATCACAAACATCAATTTCTGAAAGCTTTGAATGATACCTGGATAACAGAGCTGTAACAATTTTTCAACCATGAAAGCATTGGTATATAGGCCATAAGTGAAACTGTAGATTGCATAAAGGTAGTCATGTGTTGTCAACCCAATTTGCCCCCCTCTCCCCCCCTCCCCAGGGTTTCCCATTGCTTATATTATGTTATTCTCATTTAGAATAGCAACATAAGTGTGCTGCAAATTCATTCTAGCTGGTCACATATGGTAAATATTAGCAGGATTTAACATAACAAGTTCATGTCACTATTTACACCATTGCTTGTTAGAGAAAGTTGTCAACTTGTGATACCATGTAGGTGACAGTTAACTGTCCATTTATTTTATACCATGTTATAATATAACCAAGCATAAATAATTGAAGAAACTGTTGCAAAATATAGACAATTACCAGACTACATAAATACATAATTTGATTATCTGTATGCATGGATAAAATTTACCCATCAGGAACAAATTGCCTATTATTTTAATTTAACCTTTTACAACCCTGTTGAACAAATGCTTTCTAAATTATATATTGAGCAACCACAGATGTTCGTGATTGTTTAAACTTCGGAAACATTTCAACCATTTTAATTTCCAAGTATTGATTGGTTTCACTCAGAACTATATTGTGAAGCAGATATAGTAGTCTACTTGCACTCATCAGAGTGAGAAAATAACGTGAATTTTTTTGTTAGCTATTTTACAAAATCCCACTTCAAACGTCTGAACATTTTTGATGACCTGCTTAACATTTTGGAGTGTGTCAAAAGGGTGCATTTACGCTATTTTCTTAACGTTATGCAAGTAATTTATGATGTCTTGATGAGTAGAAAATTAATGAAAATATAATAAAAGGTCACCAAAATCGGATTAAAATGCGATTTCCCAACAGGGTTTCGTTTGAAATAGGCATTGAAAAGCGGCAGAAAAATTAAGCAAAGGCGTTTATACCGCCCAGGAAGAACACGCGATATTTGGAACAAACGCTCTTAATATCGAACACCAATTTAGTGTTCAATATCAAGGAGAGTTTTTCTGAGAAGTAGGATTGTTCATGTAAGGTTACTTGTAAGCTTAGAATTTTGGTTTTTCCAATGACACATACTTATCTACTTGCGAAATAGAGCATTTGTACAAACATAACTAATAATAGATTATAATATTTATGTTAGATTTCGAGATTTTTTTGGGAATCTCGCTCGATAGAACTCACAGTTGAAGGTTTTTGTAAGATGAAAATTTCGAAGAGCAGATTATACTAAACAATTTTTAGACCTGACTAGGACAGCTGCGAAAAATGCAACAATATAGACCATCTAGCCTGCATGGTCTGCGCGCAGGCTATAGGTCCTCTGGCAGGAATCAAATTTGAGATTCACAGCTATGATGATTTTGCCGAAAATTTTATCACTAACTATTCATCTTCTTTCTCTCGATCTCTTATTTTCACAACTGGCCCCAATCTAGCGCTTATCGCCGCTCAAAACTTTCAAATCAGATTACAGTAAAAGCTAAGAAAGATGTTCTCATTTGGCAAACCAGATTATCTGATAAAATGTTTACGCCAGGTTTATTCAAGAGACCTTAACCAGACGCTTTTAATTTGTCATGGTTTATGGGAAATTTATGGTCAATATAGCAAAATAGTTCACTAAAATGACAGCAAACTATAAATCATACCTATACTAGTTCACTACAGACTACAATATTAAGAAAATCTCGGCTAGCACACGTTTAGTCGAGCGTTTAGTCGTAATCAATTCGACAATCCCTTCAAGCGAAGAAAATGGTTGACATTTTTGTACGACGGGATTAAGTTGTCTAGTCAAGGTTTATTATACCCTTAGGATATTTCTCAAAACATTAAAAAGGGCTTTCGGAAAATATTTCCCCACTGAATATAAGCACAGCATTGAAAACACTTAACTAAAGCGAAAACCGAACATATTGTACAATAATAATTACTGTAAGTAAATGAGCAAGTTATTTCAAAATCATTCTAAAACGTTCTCATTGCGTTTAGAATAGTTGCGTTTCGTTCTAATTGCCTTTAGAACATTTGATTTCCGTTCTAATTTCCTTTCCAACATCGAGTTTCCTTATTGTGGTGGAATATGATCGTCGAACGTTCAACAGTATTCTTTCGAACATTCACGTTTCGTTCTATGAATGTACGCGTTGAAATAGCTTTCTCCGTTTCGTTTCAAAACAAACGCGAATGCACAAAGAGTTAATTCCTGCTCGGAATCGCTTGCAGCGCTTCAAATCTCACATACAAAGAGAGTAAAAGCTTTAGCCATAAGCTGATCGAATACAAAAGCGGTGTATTAACCTAGGCAAACGTATTTTATGAAAACCTGAGGTCATATTGACTTTAGGTTTAACTGCATGTGAAATGTACAAGCATTCGCTGACTCCCATGGCTTGCTTTGAATTTATATACATAAATTCGTAGTAGTTTTACACAAAACAGATGTAAAGGTCATACTAGTTCTGTATATAAAACTCGCAAAATCGGACAAATATGTTTTTAATAAATTTGATGGATTTAAATCCGGATACTTCTAATAACAAAGACCACGCAATAATTAAACGTACTTGAACCACAAAAAGCCTCTTTCACAGCCTACAATTCAACACTCAACCCAAAGTCCGAAATCTGTGCGACCAGTTTAAACCAAAAAGTCACAAATTACAACATATGGTATATACATTTATGCATCATACCTTTTGCCAATTTGGCTTCAATTCCGCGGCTTTCTTCCCGTCTTCGAGTGCTAGATCATACTGCTTGGTTTTCAAATAAACCGCAGAACGATTCGTGTATAAAACATGGTTATTAGGATCTAATGATATCGCTTCAGTGTACAACAAAGCAGCTTCGTCGAAGGCCCCTCTCTGACACGCGTGCGTAGCGAGTTTACTTCTCTCGAGCGATAACTCCCGATTACTTGGTTTCTCAATTTGTAAAGCCATATCTCAGGGCTTATCTGTCTACAACTTTGATATATCCATGGCCGCCCGAGCATAATTACATCCTTCCTTCATACCACCATTACGCAGTGCACAGTACGGACAAATACAGATTCCTAAAAGCAAACACAAATCTTAATCAGCTTGCTAGCCACAAATCCTCCTCACGAATGGATAATTTCAACAGGCCTATTTCGGTCTTTTGAAACTATTTAGATATCTTTACTTCTTGATAGTACAAAGAAGCTTCCGTCCATAAAATGGACACCATACTGAGCCTATTTCAAAAGCCGCCAAAAATTAAACAGACATATTTCTTGTCGTACTTTTGTATTCGCAGGCAGATAGTTGCTTGTATTTTCTTATTAGCTGTACGTTTGCAGTTGATTAATGCCCTCGTATATTTTACAGTTCATAAAATTGGTTAATGATCAACAATAAAAGAACGGAAGTCACTTGAAATCACTAAAAAGAACAGCAAACCAAAACACTTTCAGAAAAATTATAAACAAAATTGGAATTTGGAGACTGGAGTGAGAATTTGCCACAGGCAACGGAAGTTGACGAGTGTTGAACGGACTGAACCGATTATTTTCCGGACATTTACGATCATGCACAGTTCCCACAATCCTTTGCAAGCATGTTTCCACTTCAAAGTTTCACTCTTCACTTCTAAATGTTTCCACTTTGATGTAATTTCTCGAAGAAAATGTCCAAGAAATCCATGCAGTAATTTTGGATGAAAGGAAAAGTGAAAGAATTTTTTTGAAACCAAAACAGAAAAAATATTAGACTACTTCTTTCCATTAAATTTATAATATTTTCAAGGCAAGATTTACTGTATTAAAAGGTCTGATTATACAACTATAATTTATTCAGAGCTTGAATGAACATGAAGTATCCAGTTCAACCACAAGCATTGCCATCGCAGGCACACAAACTAAAAGTTTGTTTATGTTTGGCGAAACTCCAAATTATCAGTAAATGATCGTCTTTGTCAAAAATTTTCTTTCGAAACAAACAATGTTCATCCCAATATTTGGTGGTTATTTTTGTTTATCTTGGTTCTTTTTACGATTCCCACAGCTCCTTCATCGCAAAAAAGAAAGAAAATTTAAATGCCGGCACATCAGTCATCGAGGAGGTATTTCAAAATGTGAATTGTCAAAAATGTTGTGATTACTTATTTATAAATTTTAAGTTTATGATGTTTATCTAAATTGTATAGGTGAAAGCCATTGTAAAAAATTAAATACATGTTGAAGCTTGGTTAACTGGAAATATTTCAACTTAAATATAAACTTGATATAAACCAAATTTGACATGTAATAATTATCTTGATAAATGTCAAATATCAATTAGAGATGAGTTTTCCCTATGTGTGCTAGCCAATCAAAGTACATAATGCGTAATTAATAGAATATGTTTATTGATGCTATAAACTTTGCCAATAAACTTACTAAATGTCTTACGCAGTAAATATATGTACATATATTTTAGGAATTTTTCTTTTCAAGAAAAAAGGAAATTGGTTACCAAAAATTACATAACAGATGATCTTATTAAAACTAAATGAAGCTACACCACATAGACTTTCAAAACTTGTCATGTACATGCTATTGCCGTCTTTTTTATGTCCTTGATGCAATTTCAGTTTAACCGTTTAAGTGGCATTGTGCCCTAATGTGTCCTATTTTGTTATTTTATTCTGTCTAACGCCAGACGATTTTACTTGTCAAGGGGAAGATGCCGGCACTCAACAGGTTAAAAAATAATTGTCTCTTCCATATTTCACCATTTCAAATTTACTGCAACAAGAGCCCATACTATATGCCTTTGCCTGCTAATTATGAACAAATAATTAGAATGCATGCCTGTACAAGTTCCAGGAAAGTTAATTGATTAAATTCATTTGAAGGTGCTGGTGAAAATATAGAAAATACAATGACGGCATATCATCAGTAAGTCAGATAAAACTTTTTAAGAAGAAAAGACTGTTAGATGTAACATTACTGCCAAAATTCTGATAAATTTTCATATTTCAGTGCGGTACAGAAAGGAACAGAAATGTTGGAACTAGATGTTCACCTAACAAAAGATGGCCAGGTTTATCTACAATTATAATTAACACAAGAACATTCATCATTAGCACACTCTTAATTACAGTGCAGGCATTACAGTATGTACTATGATTAAATTTACCATGATATGTTATTATACAAATAATGAATGTTTATGAGTGCAATGGTAAGAATATTTTCATGAGGTGAAAGATGGAATGTTCCATTCAACGAGGCGACAGCCGAGTTGAATGGAACATTCCATCTTTCACCGCACAAAAAAATTCATTATTTGTTTTATATAATACCAAAATAGACTAATAGATTCGTATGAGAAGCATTTTGAGTGATGCGATTTATTGAAAACACAAAGAGTGCAATTGTACTATACGTTTTATTCCATTGCACTCGCAGAGAGTGCAATGGAACATATGTTCCATTGCACTCTTGGGAAATGGAATTTTCTATTCAATATCATGTGACCATAAACGGCCAATTAAACGACTAGAATTCAATAAGGTATTATATAAAGTATACTTGAAACCAAACAAGTAATCCAGGTGATCTCGTGCTCATATTTTAGCCAATCAGCGCTCAGAAAGGGCTGTCCGAATAGAAATCCATTTTGATGTATTCCGTCAATTATATCTTTCGTTATTCTTGATGAAACTAGTTGAAATTTTGTAATTATGTTTGGCTATGAGAACTATAGCTCTGACAAAAATATGGAATCGAAATAAAGTATATTACAGGAGATATTCAGTTGTTTTAATCATAAAATGGATTTCTATTTGACAACTAGTGCCAGTACTTTTCCGCATATCAAGATCATCTGGATTATTAGACAAATTTACCAATAGAACAAATTCTCAATAACCTAGTTGGTCTTATTGTTTTTTTTGGTACAGGTGGTGGTTACCCATGATAATGACCTTGGCAGAATATGTGGTGTCAAACAAAAAATTTGTGAAACCAATTATGAGGTATTCATTATAACAGTAATTACCACAATGTACCACATTAAGTTGCACCCATGGCACTCTCCCATATATCTATACTTTATCTATTCAATATGTTCAACAGCTTTACTACTTAATTACTCATCAAAAAGTTAATATATCTTCTAACTTTCAGGATCTTCCAACTTTGTTGCCCGTGTTGGATGTCACATTCAATCCAGGTATGTTCAATCCATTAAGCTGCAAGAACTCAGTGGTGGATCCAGCAAAGTTTTTTGTGTGGGGGTGCTAACCAATGGCGAAACGAGCGCCGAAGGCACGAGATTTCTAGGAATACTCCCCCGGAAAATTTTTAAAATTTGGGTCTCTGAAATGGCATTTCCAGCATTCTGAGAAAACATTCTGGAAAATTTTTAGATTCTCAAAACATTTCAAAATTCAGAATATTTAATATTGGCTATTAATTCCGCTATTGTCAACTAGTGATACGCAAAGTTCTGAATTCCTTAATTTAACATAAGTTGGTTAGAATTAGGATAAACGTCAGTTTTGCACCACCCCCCATGCACCCCTGTTGACCAGGGCCTGGGGGGGGGGCACCCCCCTAAATCCACCACTGCAAGAACTTGTGCCGGTAGAGCCGGAGTTCCTTGCTAGCACTGATTACACACAGACATATGACTAACTTATTGTCAGTGATAAATGGTAATACTCAGTGAGTAACCTTCTCAATTACTCAAAGGTAAGCTTTACATGATTTTAATTGCATGCTCAATAGATCAAGATATATGTATTTAGTTCATATACTATTTCATAGGTAAACATGCTGTGGCAAAGAATGGCAATGAAAAGATTCCACTACTTGAGTCAGTTTTCAGAGCATTTCCAGAACATCCAATAAATGTCGATATTAAAGATGACAATGATGAACTCATTGAAAAGGTGCAAAAAATAAAAATTTCAATAATTCTGCAATTTGAATACTTGATTGGGGATGGGAACCTAAAGCCTGGTTCACATTGTCTAGCAATTCTGTCGGCAATTTTGTCTTTCTGACAGGCCTTAAAACATAGTGTGTATTATTTGTTTTGCTAAAGGTACACCAGCTAATAGTCGACTATAACAGGAAAGATATGACAGTCTGGGGCACTTTTAATGATGAAATTAACAGCAAACTTTACAAGAAGGTAAAAGAAGAAATTACAGGTTAAGCATGCAAGCTAGGTCATACCTAAATTTATATCATTTTGTAACTAAAATTTTGTTCTATAGGACCCAGAAATTCCAACATTATTTGGTATATGGCGCTGTGTCTCACTAGTAGCAATGTACTACCTCGGCATCCTACCATTTGTTCCTTTAAAAGAGGGTTTTTTAGAGATTTTATTGCCATCCACATTACTCAAGTAAGTAAAGCATGATGATCGATGAATTTTATTAATACTAAGGCCAGGGTCAAACGTCAAACTTTTTATGCACCAAACCTAATGTTAATGAGCTAAGTTCTTTGTTTCACTTCATTTGCATTAGGTTTGGCATATGAAAAGTTCGACGTTTGCCCCTGGCCTAACATATTACAAACATTTAGAGTTTGTGTAGATTGCTGGCTTTACCTTTTGTTTTTGTGACATTAAATTAAGTATCAGGAAAAACCGTGGCAGCATAATGGTCTTTCTTCTTTCAATCTGGCAGGCTGAAGGAAAAGAAATATATGCAGTGTAAAATCTTGTGACTGGCACTCAGAGATCCCAAGGATTAAGTGCTAAGTTTCAAGGCACTAAATGAATGTGTATAATATAAAAATTGTGCAATATAACCCATTATTACAAGTATAAAGCTGCACTGCACCTTATTAGGCAGTAATATTTCATACTTTGATATCGACTCTTTCTAGTACCAGACAGTTTAAAGTGTTGCATATTATTGGCCTACTCGGTTATAAGTACATTTTTTATCGTTAATTCAAAATATTTTGCAGGCGAGATCTGACGAATAAGCAGAGAATGATAGTGAGAGTTGTGGACTGGTAAGTTGATTTTTACATACCAGACTTTATAGTTAAGATTGATCTTGGCATAACCAGTCTGGCTGCACATACTCTGCTTTGCAGACATCCTTATATAGCCAGGGACACCAAGGCGAGGGCACAGGGGGGCAATATTGACATAAGGGCAATCATTAATTAATATTCTGTTTCCGAAAAAGTTTTCCGGAACCTTAATTCACCAAAACAAGGGCAAAAAATTTTTTAAAGTTAACCTAATTTTTTACACAATATATTCCAGAAAATTTCACCTATATTTCAATATTACGTCCATGCATTTCACCCATAATTCATACTTTTTAATCGTTGTACCTCATATTTTTTTTAGTTAGAATTTTCATCTAAGGGCACGTTCACCCCTCTTACTAAAGGCAAGGGGGTGATGCCCCCTGCCCAAGACAAGGGGGTGATGCCCCTGCCATCACCCAAGGGGGTGATGCCCCTTTCCGGCATCCCTGCTTATAGCTACAGTGTATGCTGCTCACGTTTACTCTGTCAATGACAATGTCATACTGGAAATAAAGTATTATAAGACTAGGTCAACAGTAATTTCTTGTTCCATTAGGTTCCTTATGAGTCCTTCGTTGATTAAACATCTGGAAAGAAGAGGAATACAGGTATTTAAAGTCTAAAAGTTCAAGAATTCTTACCCAATTCACAAGTATATTACATCAACTGCTTTTAATTATTTTTAAACTTTTTTCTTTAGACATACCTCTGGGTTTTAAATGAAGACGAAGAGTTCACAAGAGCTTTTGAATATCTTGGCGTTGCAGGCGTGATGACGGACTATCCTAGTAAACTCACAGAATACTTGGAAAGAAATACAAATGACAAAAATAATTAGAACGTAATTAAAACTCGATATTAAATTATTAATGCTACGGCGTAAATTGGTTCATTGTAAATTCACATTCATTATTTTATTATTAAAGACTTTTATTGAATTATACCTATGTATTATATAAGTTCTTTTTATCTTATATTAACTTATTATAGATGGGAATTTCAAATGTAAATTTTATACATTTTAGACCTACTGTAACTAGGAGCAGTTGAAAAATGCAACTATACTACTATAGGCCCTGATGTTGGTAAAAGTGCTGCACCAGAATTGCAGGGCAGCAGCAAGCAGGGTTTAAAAATTGATTCCTGCCAGAAGAGCTAGTACATGTTGCATTTTTCGGAACCGTTCCTGGCAAGCCTGAAAATAAGTGTCCGGTCACGGTCATTGACCTCTACAAATACATAATTTCTAGTGTTTTAATTGACAGGCACAAGTTTGCATTATTCAGAAACTTATGTGATTATTTCTATATATTAGCAAAATATTAATTCAACAGGATTAAAATGCAAGGTTAGCAAAAACTGTTCTAAATACCATTGAATGTATGTAACCACTGCATATTTGATTGACAGGTATGTTTTTTTTTCATGACAGGCACATATGCATTGGTGCTGGTCATTTTGACAGGCAGGCCTTAAAAAATTATTTCCAGGCTTGGTTCCTGGTAGCCTCCTCCGCAGGCAACTCTTAAAACACATGAGGGATAGTCAGGGATAGTTGATTTGATAGTTACATTATATTGTCACTTGGATTATCCATCTTATATACCATATAATAAAACTAGACAATACTGTTTATAAAATCATTTATTTTAAAAGCGTGGTCGTACATTCATTTAAATTATGATTATACACTTCTTAAGTTATAACATGATAAATTAATAATTTTTTTGAGATTTTAAAATTCCAAAACTAAATTAAAACCATATTATTTAGCATTTTGTGGCTTTTTTCTAACTATGTATAATTATGTACAAATATCTACAACCTACATACAATTTATAATGTCATCTAAAGGCATGTTTGCTAACTCTTCGTCACTTTCCGTATCCGATGGAGATAAATAAAGGGTAAAGGAATTATTTGCGTCTTGTGAAGAATTCTCTCCAAGATCCGAGGATGGTTCGTTATCCCAAGACGATGCATAAAGAACCTCATTAACCTGTAATGACCCTATCTTGTCATCGCCAAATAACTCTTGACAAACCTCGTTCTCCCTCTGACAAAGCTTATTTCCTTGACAAACTTCGTTATCACCTTGACCAACTTTGTTATCTCCCTGATCATTCTCGTTATCTCCCTGATGATCCTTTTTATCCGAAGATAACCCTGGACGAACTACAGGTGAACCTGGTTCAACCTTGGTTACTTTTGATGGCGATTCAACGCCAAATGCACATGCTCGTTTCCTTGGCGATAAGGGTGGAGTCACTCCATCTAATATACTTCGACTCATAATGACCCTTTCCTCAACCTCACGTACAAATTCATACATGGCTGGTATGATAGCTTCGTTCCAGTAGGATTCATTAAACTCAAATGGAGTTTCCCGATTTTCACCATGTAATCGCTCGAGTAAAATCCCTTTGCTTTTATTGCACAAGTACATATAAGCTTGCAGTTGGAGAACATCGTAATCAGGGCACATGAATCGTCTGGTACGGTTCTTAACCTCGACTATGGTGCTCTCGTCACGAGCATCAACACGACCGACAAGGAGCCAGGATATGTCATTATATGTCAATATCTTGCGATACAACTTTGCTGGTTCTCTGCGCACAGCCTTTCCCGAGGCAACTGCAAATTCTGTGACAGTTTTAGCTTCCAAAACAGTCCCTCTGTCGCGACGTAATTTGTGGGCTAAAGCGTCTTGAGTCGGTTTGTCCACAGCCTTGCCCGTTTCCTTGACGATAGTCTTACAAACCTACAATTGCAATAGTTCTGTTAATAATAAAATACCATCAATGGTAAATAATGAAACATCATGGGTTTTACCATTGTATATTGTACCAAGTTAACTGTACCATTTGGGAAATTTATAATAACCAAATATATAAAGGGGTCGAAATTTACATTTGCCTCTACTATACAACCGGAATTATTAAAGTAGACTTTGAAAATCACTATTCCGTCTGAAGATTCACTATTCTTTTTATGTCTCTGAGAGCCTGTTCACAGGCTATTGTTGGAGACAATTGCGTTGTATTTAAAGCCGCAAGACCTCTGAACTGGAGATCAGTAAACAAACAAGCGAAAACTTTAATATTTAACACAACAAGAATCTATCAAATGTACGTGCAAAAACTCAACTAAAAAATCAATAGTTATGGAATACCGTAATCATTGAAATGAATACCCTGAATATAAGAGTTCAGTTAATACCACTTGACCCATAATCATTGATCCAATTATATATCTTACAAACCTCTTCCACTTTTTCCTCAACCGATTTCTTTTCTTCACCACAGAGAGTAGCAACAGCTTGGTTGACTCTTTCACTTTCGCCCAACAAATTCAACAACACTTTCTCTTTCGCTTCGCCAAACTCTTTTGTGTCGACAAAATTCATAATTTTCTGGCGTAGATTGCGCCATTCCAGATTGGAAAAGATCTCTTTTAGCGAGTTCGTGAACTTTTGCTTTCCTAAATCGCTTTCTATTTCGTCTGGCAATGCATTTCGCATCGGTTTATCTTTTATATATTTCTTGCAAAGTTCAAACACTTCGCCGGCGTAGGCCAAACTCAGCGAAAAAGCGAACGATGGGCGATCGAATCGCTTCCATACTCCGAAAACAGTTTCTTCTTTTGCTTTGTAGGGATGTTGATCAACAGCACTTGCTAATTCGCTAGCATAAATCACGATTTGTTTTCCCAGACCAAAATCCAACGCCATTTTGTTAGCTTTGACATTAGAATGACAATGTCAACATTTGTTTATAATTTTTTCCCCGCGATGTGGCGGGAAATGCAAGCAAGACAATGAAAATACTTCATTGAAGTGCTTACGCATTTCCGGTTATTGCAATCGTGCGCAAACTGGCACAAACTTGCCTGGGCAAATTCTTGTAGCCTGCACGGCAGACGGTCTACCCGCGTCTCTCGCGCGTTTCTCCTCGCGGGTCATTACCATCCCTATTCTGTCATCATTACAGCCACTATTACAGCCTTTTGTATGATCGATAATTTCAGCAATATATTATAGAAACCACCATCTAACTTGCAGTTACTGGACAGTATCAACATATTACAGTAAAGTTGTCATGAATTTCGGTGGCAAATAAATTGAATTGAGAGATGCAGTTTAATTCTCTCGCTCCTATATTTGAGTTTGTCATCCTATTATGTTCGCTGTCCCGTTAAGTCCGTAACGTTGTTGAAAGCCGTATACTAGCAAAATAAAAGCTAGGAATGACAGCTATACTGCACACCTATCCCAATAAACAAAACTCAAAGGCGAAGGAGACAAAATTCAAAATGAAAGCGGAAATCTCACGCTTGAATAAAACTTAAAAGAGACGGCAAAGCTCAATAATATATCAAGTTTTGTCTTGCAACAGTAGGAGGCAGGAATCTCATGAGCAGCTTAGTTTGTTGTCGATGCAAATGAGGGCAAAGGTATAGTACCATCAGTAATGAAAGGTTAAATTTCTACAATGTCCAATCGTTTACTCATCAATATAGCAAATGCTGTAGAATGGTTGAATGATAGGGCGAAAGATAGGGTGTTTTATAAAGGAGTGGTAAAGTTTTTGGAAGAGGCAGCTAGTATTTTAGAACCTGCTGTCGAAAGTCTTCGTGGCAAAGATATACATCAGACTGACCAGGTATTTGCCAGACCTTTATACAAATAATCTGCTTAGTGTGAAAAAATAGCATAGATTTCATCTTCGTTCAGGCAATGTGTTGTGTGTTTCACTGAGTAGGACATACACTATAGTGGATCGATACAGAAAGACCATGAAAGAGAGACTTAGAGCAAGTCTAGTGCAAGCATGGCGGTCAATTTTAAAACAAAGACAAGTGACTAAATTGTCGACTACATGTAATGACTTTGTGTTTGCTGGTGAATATCACATGTAAAAACGCACAAGTTGTAACAAACCTGCAGTAGACTTGTAGCAATGCTGTTCCAACAACTTGTTATCAGGATGTGTTCGCACTGCTTGTTCCCAGCTTGTTGACAAGTTGTCAACGGTTTGTTGGCAACTTGCTACAAGGTTATTGAGCACAACGGACTTGTTACAAGTTGTTCCAACAACTTGGTATCGTCTTGCAATTCAACAATTTGTCAACAAGTTATGGGTGACAACCTTGTAGCAACTTGATAAACTAACAGCATTGTTACAACTTGTTGACAAGCTTGCTACAAGCCTGTTGCAAGCACATGTTGTTGACAAGTTGTGAGATTTTTACGTGTATACATGTCATGCCCTACAAGTGTCAATCTTGAGGTTCACTCCATGTGTATTTAATCAATCAATCCTTTCGTTTAGATAGTAGACGAAGACAGTATCCTGATGATATTAAATGATCTGATCGATCATATCGATTACATCACGAATAAAGATGGTATGCAAATGACGTCACGATTAGAGAAAGCCAGACAACGGTTGGACCTAGCTAGACAAACGATGCGATTGGAATCAGCCATAATTCCCGAAACACGCGTGGACTTACAGAAGATTTTAGACAATGTGGAAAGCGCGTTACAAGAGGATAGTGATAACATAAATTTAAAAACTGCATTAGTTCGGTTGAGAGGTACAATGAATGATTTGTCAAATGTTTAAATATTGTATAGCTAGATAATGAACAGAGCTCACGGTAAAATAATCGTTCAATACTGTCCTATAAAATACATGTCCTTTTTCCTCTAAGAAAGCTGACTGGCTCCTCAAATAAAATATAAGTTTATCTGATGAATGAGAAAGTTTACCCAAACCCTAACAGCCTAATAATGTCCAGCTTTGCCTGACGTCTGTATCTACACGGGCTCGCTCAACTAGCTGGAATGTGTGTTAATGCTCTGTCAGACTAGCCTGCGAACAGGCTCTCTTTGAACAGGCTCAATTGAGCCTCTATTAACTATGGTCTGTCTATACACGCGCTTATTGGCCCGATTCAGACAGAAAGATCAACTGTCAAGACAGGTCCATTTGTGTAGACGATCCTAGCATGAGTTCAATCCCTGTGTCTAGTATACAGACGAATTATCTTTCCTTTGTCGAAGTCTTTGCAGACAGATTGTCTCTCGCATGAATTCAGTGTGAAGGCATTTCCAATAATTCCACGTACATTGTGTTATAAATGCGAAGTGAGACGAAACTGGCTATGATAGGACTCACCAGCTACCATGAACTGAAATCACCAAAACCAGATGATGTCTTAGCTTTCTTCTTCGCTGGCTGCGATGAACTGTCGTCAACGCTACTAAATGTAAGGAAATAATTTCAGGATTTTGGGCATTCAATTTTGTGCATGGAAGGGCCGCGGCTTCTATTCCTACCAGAGGGCCTTATATATAGTTGTATTTTTCGCAACTGCTTGTGATTAGACCTAGAATGCGTGCTTCTATCCTTTCTCAGTTAAACAAGTGACGCCATATAATATTAACTATTCAAAATGAGCGATTTATAAGGGCAAATTAAACTCGTCCCATGACAAATCGCTATAGACCGCTCCTCGGACAAGGCCGATTTATAAGGTCTAATATTTCTATGATAAATTCACACTGGAGATTTCCATACTTCTAAGAAAATAATTCACGCATTCATCTCCAATATTTTCATCTTCAACATTTTCTTGAGTAAAATCGTCTCGCATTCGAGAGAGAAAAGTGAACTTAAGATGAGCTAAATCTGGTACGCGGATGTGACAAAAAGACAGTTACTTATACTTTTCGTTTGGATTTGTCACCAGTTTAAATTTATTTTTCACCTGTATCCTTCTTTGTTGACAAAACAAATGCACATTTTTTACCCGTGTTGCTGACACTGAGAATTTAGGGTGTGTTTTTTGTCAGGTCCTCGTACTAGATTTCCTACATCTTAATTAAGTTCGCTATTATTAAAACAGTATAGTCGACATTAGCGTGGCTTGATGGATTACCTAGATACTTTTGGTATATATTTCCCAACTCCTGATCGATGAACTTTCATTTCAGTTTCCAAGGCAGAGGTTGTATTTTGTTTTCTTTCCTCCTGCAACATGGTAGCGAATGAATGAACACCCATATTTATTGAGGCTTTCACTAGCTAAATAAGAGTGGCTCTCAAAAGAGTAGTATGTCACTAGTACTCACTACCTTCGAAACTGACTTTCAGCTGCCAGGCCAAAAAAAAATATGTGGGTTTCCGGTTTCCCGACCCTACCTAGCTTTTGGACGCCGAAATGCCGACCCTAAACTTTTTTACTGGATCATGTTTGTAAGTGTTTCCACTTAGAGGAAAACGTTTGTGAAAAACGGAAATTTTAGGCAATATTAGGGAAATTTGTTTTTGAATGTGGAAGCACTCACTAAACAAAATGGCGTCCGGTTGTTAGGAAAATTAAAAAAAAAGTTCAAAAAAAAAAGTTAAAACCAACCTACCCTACCCAAGTTTTTACAAGAAGAAATAGGAACCCACATTTTTTTTTGGCCGCATGATTTTCATGATTAGTTATTGTGCCATGAAAAACCTCATTAAAAACACTTCGATGACGATGTATTAAGCGACGTCCCTTCCGCCTTCGTCAGAAAAGCCTGTAATCACGACCTTAGAAGTGCTTATACGTCACGTCATTTTCAAACAATGAATTATTGACCCAGGAGTGTCCCACAATGCAATGTGCATTTTTCTGTACAGAACTTAGCTTCATATATATCCGGGGCGAGAAGTTCAGTCATTCGGTCAATGAGAAAAGTGAAGCCAAGATGGCGGCCATTCACGTCCAATAGCTCTGAAAGCCGTAAACTGGCTTCACTTTTTGGACTCGAGTTCTCGCTCCAGATATAGATGGAGCTCACTGCTTTTGTTTAAAAATTGCGTGACGTAAGCACTTCTAAGATCTAATACTACTTACGTCATCACGAAGGGACTTCGCTCAAAACGTCGAAGCTTTTAAACTTTCTCAGGTGGTTCAGCCACAAACTATGGTTCATCATGGTTGCTTCATTTCATCCTTACCTCAGCCGCTCGTTTTTTCTCTTCCTCTTCTTTCTCTTTTTCTGCTTTCAACTAAAAAAACATACACGTTTTAACTTTGCTTTCAAGAAGATTGACTCTACCAAAACCACTGATTTTCCCCGGGTCCTTCAGTTCTCTCCTGTTGTTTCACTGCAGCAATAAGGAATATAATCCATTCATCACAACAATGAAAACTCACCTTTTCATCAACTTCTTCAAATGGATTGACAAAAACACTCACATTACTTATTTTGATCAATTCCTTGAGAAACAAAATGGATTAAACTTTTAAGATAGATGTTTAATAAAATTTCTCCCTGAAAGGGTTTTTCAGAAATTATTTACAATTTTTTTTAACCATGCACAAAGTTTAGTTGTTTTTTTCAACACATGTTACAGACAATTCGAGATAAACTCGTGAAGATTCGTCTGAAAAAATTGTTACCTTTGGTCTATCTTTTTCATCACATTCAATTTTTTCCATTTTATTTATTGTATCCATTCCGCCAACAACACTAGAGATAAATGAATAATATAGAAATATTTCAGTATTTCACTACCATAAGCTTGCATGTAATGTATTAAATCAGACCATAGGGTAAGGAAATGATTATTTTTAGTTTTATCACAACGTTTCGGAGTATAACTCTATCTTCAGTTTTGAAACAGGTAGAATAGAAAACCTTTTTTAACAATTTAAAAACCATTGTACGAGATTTGATGAAACTGTGCAAATATTGTCATAATTTTACTCACCGTCCAAAAACTGAATGTTTGTTGTCAAGATGGCGACACGAACGGTAGGTGATGAAACTAGGAAACAAAGAAGAATTAAGACCTGACAGGATACAAAATAATTAATCGCGAAACTATGCAGACTTTCTTTGTTCCAAATGATATACATTTATTTAATATAATTAGTTAAACTTACAACTGAGATTTATTAGTGTTGGCTCCTGAGTTTGCCATACTTAAAATACCACGACCTAAAATAAAACCATGAAAAATACAATTGAAAGTCCAATTCCAACGTCTTAAACAATAAAAACACATAATGATTTGTTGAAATTTTCAGACCTGTGTGAGTTAAATTTGGTTTAAATTCATCTTTAAATGCTGGTCCCCATGCCGACTCCCCACCTGCAGGAGAAACGCAAGACAAAATGAAAGACCACTTATAGCGTGTTTGATTGTAGTCATTGGACATTGCACAAAAGAACTTTAAAAAAAAACTTTAAAAAAAAACTTTTAAAAAAAACTTGTAAAACATTTTGAACACTTATTAGGTATAATTATAAAAACGAACCTCTACCCGTTCCAGTTGGATCACCGCCTTGTATCTATATGCGAAAAATCAATTTTTCATTCATATATTTTATTTATTAGTTTCAAAACTGTATTTTATACAACAGAGCTAGTCCAATCATATAGAATATAAGACTGGAGTAGCTGTAGACATACAGTCATGTTGGTGAGTATATAATAACATTTGTAATGAATATTGACAGGAAAGTGTACCTTAGGAAGAGCTGGGAATGGATAGGGATACAACTACCCGAAGTTCTCCTTGTATTTTTCAGCATGTATCCCTAATCTATCCATAGCTTTCTTATTATTGGCATTACCTACACTGGCACAGACAATTAACCATTTCCCAAAGTCCTGGGTCTAGTCGCGCGAATCCCTTGTTGGTGGGACAAGAAATATCGCAGCACACATTTAAATTAAATGTTCAATGTAAAAAGGAGATATTTCATTTTTAGTCGTGTAAAAAGTTGATACTTGATGGTAGACACTTCTACTCTTTCACATATTTGACGCCAGTCCCCTTATATTTTGTCCCTCCAAACGATCCCGGAATGCACTGTGATCTCTTTTGGGAAAGGGCCAATACCTTAAACATACACTAGACTTACCATAAAGTTGCGAATTGAACGGTGAAAGGCTAGAGTAAAAATTAAGATTTAAATAATATCAGTTTGTATTGAAAATCCACAATTTAAAAATGCCAATGTTCTACTTACTAGTGTTGTTGTAGTAACCAGAAGCACAGTGTTTTAAGAAGTTCTCGCATGTTTTGGGAACCTACAAACAAAATAGTCATATTCTAAGAACTGTACTGCACAACACAGAAAAGCGTCACAGTGCACAAATAAGGATGAACAGGGGTGGAAAAATAGGCGAGCACGTGAGCACTGCTCGCAGGAAATGTTAAACAGCTGCAATAAATTCGTTCGAATGAAGATTTGCTATTGAAAATTTGAAGGAGACCTTAACACCCATCTCCCACTATGGGCGCAACAACATATGGTTGACAACAACAGACATGCATTATCCCTTGAATTTAAAACCATGGTCACTCCGTTGGTCTGCAGGAAATTCTTGGATCCAGGTTGTGCTTCCGGAAGAATTCTTTTTTCCTGTCCTGAAGGATGACTGACATTGTTACCAAACAGCAAGAAATTAGCTTGAGTAACTCCAGACGAAGGGCCTTCGCTCGAAACGTCGAAATTCTCCTTATATTTTTCAGGTAGTTGCATCCAGTTGTCATAGGTAGTTGCATCCAGTTTCAGGTAGTTGCATCCAGTTTCAGGTAGTTGCATCCAGTTTCAGGTAGTTGCATCCAGTTTCAGGTAGTTGCATCCAGTTGTTTCAGGTAGTTGCATCCAGTTTCAGGTAGTTGCATCCAGTTTCATTTCAGGTAGTTGCATCCAGTTTCAGGTAGTTGCATCCAGTTGTCATTTTTCAGGTAGTTGCATCCAGTTTCAGGTAGTTGCATCCAGTTTCAAGTAGTTGCATCCAGTTTCAGGTAGTTGCATCCAGTTTCAGGTAGTTGCATCCAGTTTCAGGTAGTTGCATCCACTTTCAGGTAGTTGCATCCAGTTTCAGGTAGTTGCATCCAGTTTCAAGTAGTTGCATCCAGTTTCAGGTAGTTGCATCCAGTTTCAGGTAGTTGCATCCAGTTTCAGGTAGTTGCATCCAGTTTCAGGTAGTTGCATCCAGTTGTCAGTTTTCAGGTAGTTGCATCCAGTTGCATCCATCCGAAATTCTCCTTATATTTTCAGGTAGTTGCATCCATTGTTACCAAACAGCAAGAAATTAGCTTGAGTAACTCCAGACGAAGGGCCTTCGCTCGAAACGTCGAAATTCTCCTTAAATTTTTCAGGTAGTTGCTAACTACTAACCCTAAAACCAGCATTCTAATATTAATTCCACCAGGTGAAGTGCAAGAAACAAGATCATTGAAGTCCACCTTATCACGACCCGCACACCCGATCACCTATATATACATGGACTTACGGTTACAGCTCAACAGCTGGCCTCTGTAGCTCAGTTGGTTAGAGCGCTGCACCGGGATCGCAGGGCCGTAGGTTCAATTCCTACCAGAGGACTTTGTGCTGCATTTTTCGCAGTCGTTCCTGGTCAGGTCTTAAAATGTATATATACTCACTTGGATTACAAACCCTTGTAGAAATTAACTTACCATTTCACAATGAAGTTCCAAATTCAAGTCTCCCATGCTTGTTGATAGACGAACATAGCCTGTTGATGGAAAAATAAAAATCGGAAAGTTGTAAATAAACTCTAAACTTCTAAACTCAACTCTAAACTTCTGCTATATTAAAAGATAATCCAGATTAAACTTTAGCATTTATAAGTTAAAGCATCTTTTTATATATTTCCGGGTTCCATATTTGTAGTTTTAAAGGTTTTGAAGTATTTTTACAAAGGTTGAAAGTATCAGGATAGCACTAGCTGGCCTTCGTACAGAACAACGAGTACCATGGTTTGCAAATCTGAGGTAAAAGAGCCTCAAGTTATTTGAAACTTGAGGCTTTTGGTGGTAAACAGCTTAATTTTGCCTGTTCTCGATTATGGTGATTTAGTCTGGGGTGACAAAAATAATGTATCGCTGATGAATGATCTGCAAATTCTTCATAATAAAACTGCAAAGTCTGTGTTGGATCTACAAATCGATTCTTCTAGTAGCCAGGCTTTAACAATGTTGAAGTGGTATCCTTTGTCGTATAGAAGACAATTCCACAAATGTAGTTTTGTTTATAAAGCCTTGAACAATAATGTCGACTTTATTATGGAAGAAATTAAAGGAAGTGATTTACACTGTCATGATACAAGAAATAAACAGTTAGTAAGACTCCCCCTTTGTAGAACCAATTGGGGACAACAAACATCGCACTATATGTTTTTTAATGAATGGAATAATCTTCCGCCATTTGTTAAAGATTCTAGTAGCTTTTTAGCTTTTAAAAACAAATATGTCTCAGTATGTAATGAATAACGTGTTATCTTAGTGTTTTAAGCGTGGACTTAATTGACCATTTAATTAACTTTTTGAACTTTCTTAGGATTTCTAATTAATTATTAATTTTTTTTTCATTATCTTGTTGCATGCTGTATTTTGTTTGGAGTAGATAGCAATAATTATAGTCAGTATTTTATGTAAATAATTATTTCCTTCTTATTTGAGGACCCTTATGAAAACCATCCCTGATGATAAGGCTTCCTCACAAAAGATTGTTTAAAATAAAAATAAATAAAAACTTCCACCAAAGTTAAGTTCCTGTTATATTTACCTTTCTTCTTCACTTCTCTGTAGCGTAAGACGTCCTCATCAATAATGGCTGTGAAAATATGCAGAAAACTATAGTGGTTAGTGTCCTAACAATTTGTTTAACATGCCCACAGACGCTAGTGAGAAAGTGGAAACAAAATATTCACCTGCTTCTTGTTTTGTCACAGGAATTCGAGCAGTTGATGTCAAAGAAGCTCCCATCATGCCAGTCGAGTAAGGAGCCTAAACATGAAGAAACGTTGTGTGTTTCAAATGTGGCCCTGGTCATTATAGCCGTTGTAGTGGACTGGAGTCTGGAACACAGGCTAGGTCATTAATAGACCTTTCCCCTTATGAGTGAAATTTTGATCTAGACAAGCCTGGACAAAAATTTCATCACAGCTTGAAAGAGCATCATAAAATTAGTAATATTCCGAAGTTTCGTTGCGAAATGTTGTAAAATGCGGATAATATAGCCTTGCGAAATTTGCCGTTTTACAGTCATTTTCAAACTGATTACCAATTTCCCATTTGTAATACAAAATGACTGAAAAACGGCAAACTTCGCAAGGCTACAGTATATTATCCGCATTTTACAACATTTCGCAACGAAACTTCGGAATATTACTAATTTTGTGATGCTCTTTCAAGCTGTGATGAAATTTTTGTCCAGGCTTGTCTAGATCAAAATTTCACTCATAAGGGGAAAGGTCTATTATAGTCACACAAATGACCCAGTGTAGATAGGGCTTTGTAAAAACAACCAATCATACTTACAGCATTCCTTGCATCAGCTTTTGATGTACTGGCACCAGAGTCTTTCTCCTACAAATTAAAGTAACACGATTATTTTAAAGTTAGAAATATTATAATGTATAGGTTATCATTACGGTAGCTTGTGTTTGAATATTAATTGAGCATGCTTCAGTTACATTTTTTGCTTTTTGTGTATACGATGAATCATTTCGATCACTCACAGGTTCTTTGTAAGTTTGATGTAGTTCACTCAAAATGCTGTCAGTTTCCGTATTGGTTTTTCTTATGTAGTACATTGGATCTTTCTTCGCCTTTGCCTCTCCTGGGAAATAAAATAAAACAAAACTTTTAAGACATTGGAACTACTGAAAGATATATTGCTGTCTCTCTGGGCACAAATTCGTAAGAAGTTATTTCGCTGGCCTTAGAGTGACAAAACGTAACAAAGCAACGGTTTTACTAACACTAACCCTATTCCAAACACCAACTCTAACCGTAATCCTAACCCTACTGGCTACTCCTAACCCTACTCCAAGTTTGTTTCTAACCCAATCTTGAGGAAAATTTTTTTGACGAAATGTCATTCTGAGATCAGTGAAATAACTTCTTCCCACAAAAAAGCACAAATTCTTAAATATTGTATTGACTACATAGAGTACATTCATAACTTGGTTTTGTTGAAAACATTACTTTTCTTTATTCCCAAAGCTTTTGATCTCCATCCCTGGAGAATTAAAATATGGTGTTTTCCACAAACCGATTAACTCATTGAGTGTCAGCGCTCTCCTTTGACAAGTAAAATCGTCTGGTGTAAGACAGTGTAAAATAATATAGTGGTTAAATTACCTTCATCCACAACAGTCAAGTTGTTTTTGAGATGATGAAATGAGGCAAGATTAAATTTGTCAAGATTGGTTGGATCCTGTGAAAAATATATAAAAACAATATACAGCCAAGACAAGAAATTGCAGTTTCAGTATAGTTACATAATTACTGTAAAAATAAATTAAAAACATCAAATATACATAATTATTGATAACGTATTTACTTGTATAGTAACAATATCTTTGCGTGTGAATGGTTCATCAGTCAAGAGATCTTTAAAATTTCTTGGCTTGATGTTTAACTGTTCCACAGCCTGTAATTGCAACAACAAATTACTTTCTCACAAACTGCTGAGGGATGTTGCACATGCAAGCGCAGCCTGACTTTTAATGAACAAAAATCTCGTATTTACAATAAATGGATCGGTACAAATTACTGCATCTCATTAAACTAATTTTCACATGTCACTGAGCACTTGTTTCCATCTACCAAACTGACATGACGTCATTTTCGGAAGATTGAAGGGGTGTTAAATGGCTATGTAACTAACCCAAATCCTACCCCTACCCCTACTCTAATCACTAACCCTAACCGCAACCCTAACTCTAACCAAATTAATAAAAAAATCCAAAAAGAAACAACTTTAGAAATTGATCAAATGATGTAACATTAGTTTGGTGGATGGAAACAAGTGAAAACCAGACTAAACCCAATTATAGTTGGCACCGACTGCAACTACATAATAGCTCAGGTAGGGTGGCCGGTGGCTGGCTGGGACACAGGTCAGGCTAGCACGAGGCATTAGCAAAAAAGTGACTCTGCATGACGACCTTGACCCCACCCTAGACCCAGTCCCCCAGCAGTGTGTGAGAAAAACCTCCTCAGCCTGCAGAAAATAACACTTAGATGATATTAATCCCAGTGATTCCATCCTGGAATAGCACCACCACCTTATATACTGTAATTTATCTGAGTTGTATTCCCACAACCATTACCAGACCTCTCAACTTTGCAGAGAAGTTAAGAGTGAGATTGGGGCAGTGAACTCTATATATATATATATCTGGAACGATAACATTCAGTCATTTGATTGTGAAAACAATGAAGCTTCGATACCAGTCTTTCACGCGGATTGGACGTCAGTCTCAGTCCCTCAAACGTCAGGTTTACGCGGATTGGACGTCAGTTTCATTCCCCCTCTTCAAAAGTATAAATTTGAACGCAATCACGAAAAAAAATTAAAAACATGGCCAACTCAATGCAATACATTTTAGGAGCAAACTGTTTTGCTCCTAAAATTTACTGCATTGAGTTCCCTGTCGGAAAAAAGTCGAGGAAAACTTCCCCGGGTGGAGAAAAGAATCACTTTTTCAAATATATTGTGTCGTACTGTCGTTCTGGATGCACAAGGAAAGATATGTAAGTGATTTTTAATACTGTAAGAAAGTTCTTGAACAGTTGATGACGAAGACAATGACGAATACTTATGTCGTGATTTTTTTGTCGGCTTCACTTTTCGCTCGCTGTTATCATTCCAGATATATATATATAGAGTTCACTGGATTGGGGATGTGGATGACACCTTTGTAACAGTCCGGGGCTGGGGGTCTGAAATGGCATTTCGTACATTATGAGAGTTGGTGTTTTTTAATGAAATACATTGCTTCATAACGTACTTTAAGACAAGGCACTTTAGTCACAATAACTGTATTTCTGCTACATATACAGTAATGAGCTTTAATTCAGCCTTTGATAATTTACATATAGAATTTTGCTCCGACTGATTCTGCCTTTTGTCAACCGTATTTACATAATTTATGCGTACAATTTTGTATCCAAATTGCGGGCGAAATGTCGAGCCGTATATGCAGGAACATCCAAACATGAATAACACACGATTATATATTCGATTCGCGATCCGTATAATGAATAATAATGTGCATTTAAGAATACAATATTATATTATTGAAAAAATACTATGAAACTGCTATATGCGTGAGATTTACTAAACGTACATACAGTAGCGTGAGAGTGAAGCAAATTGTGTGAGACTCATGCCAAAAGCGTGAGAGTTGAGAGGTCTGCCATTACACAAATGATCATTATTCGATCATGTCTCTCAATCATTTCATGTGCACTATACCTCATATGCAAAAACATTTCCAGTTGTTTTCACAGCAACAATGTGACTGTTCTGGGTGAAAACCTTATATGTCACAGGACAGTGATGTTTATCTACAGAAATGATTATTAGACAATCAATTGATTATTAGACAATTACAGTCAAATCCGGTGTTCTGTTGTGGGTAGACTTTCGCTGTTTCGCAAAGTCCTTCGTCTTTGTTTAGAATGAATGAATTTTAAAGAAGTAATGAAGAAAGGAATTTGTGAAACAACATTGCAATATTGTCATGCAATAATGATTGGCTGATTGCTCTAGCAAATTGCAACCAACACAAACAAATTGCAATTTTTACATACAGTAACAATATTAAACCATCAACTGCAAAATTCAAAAGTTCATAATATGATTCGAAGCAAGTTTGTAAATGAAGTCTGATTGGACTAGTACAAACAAGCCAATCAAATGCTGGTATCTGACATTTGGGCGCACCTCTCGACAAATTGTCAACACGTAAAAAATTACAATTTGTTCACGTCAGTTGCAATTTGCTAGAGTGATGCGTGACAATATTGCATTGTTGCTGGCAACGGAACACCAGATTTGACTGTAATGATTATTAGACAATTAATGTCTTTAATGATGACTTTTCTGGAGGGTGGGTCAAAAGTTTCAGGAGTACATGTATCCCTCTACATGCACCTAGATCCACCAGTCAGCACTATTGGCAAAAGAATCAGATGGTGATAAGCTCATGAACCAGTATGTCTTACCTTCATTATTTTTGTGAAAATTCAATTTGATCAAATTTTTCATTTCCAAAGGCTAGAAAGATAAAACAATAAAAATATATTGTAAATATTACAACAAATGAAGGACAATATTAATTTGTTAACCTCTGCTATTAAGATAGAATGCACACTTCTTGATACCTTACTCCGTCTAATATGTTAGACAAGACACATGGGCAGTCTTGATTAAAGGTATGTTTAGATTTACACACAATGATTAATCGGGTCGATTCAGCTTTAAGTAAACAATATTTGAAAAATACACTGTCAACATCATCTGACAACATCATCAACAGACAGCATTCATCATTAACATTCGACAAAACCTGAAATCGGCCTGATTAATCGTTGTGTAAACGTAGCTTAGGCCGTGTTTACACTATGATGCTACGGCAAATTTACCATAGCGCAGTGTTTTGCATCCGGAGTGCCAAACATAGTGGTCTGTAGTTAATATACTACGGCAAACCACTCCGTTATAGTGTAAACACAATACTAAGAAACGTGGCAAATTTTTAACGAAATTGATTTGTATTCAGAGTGGCAAATGTAGTGGTCCGTAGTTAGTACGGTACGGCAAACCACTCTGTTATAGTGTAAACACAATATAGTCTCAATACTAGAAACGTAGTAAATTTTTAACAGAGCGTTAGCCGTAGTGTCATAATGTAAACATGGTCTTAACCACCACCACTTTGCCCTTGACGAGTAATATTGTCTGGCATTTAGACAGGGTAAAATAAGAAAGTAGCATGCAATGCCAATAGATGATCAGAGAACCTGATGGTAAACAGTACTTACCTCTCCAGTCACAGGGTTTTTGCCAAACTTCTTTATAAATGGAACAATACTCCTAAACATAGATAATGATTGAATAAGATATAAACGATAAAAAATACCAAATCCATGACCTGCTACATATAGTAGTAATAACACTCGGTAGAAATAATTTGATGATACTCACAGAAGATCAAAAACAACACCTTCTTTTGTACAATATGGATTAGCAAATGGTTGAAGTGACAAACTATAAAAGATGTATAATATTATTATATTACTTAGACACATATAAACATGTTTGCTATAAAAATTAATTATTAATTAATTAGTATAATAATTAAAGACTTTATTATTATTTTACTCCTTCTAACATCAGACTATTTTGCTCATCAAGAGGAGTGCATGAATGAGTTAATTAGCACACTGACAAGTTAATCAACATACTAACAAGTTAATGAGCACACTAATGAGTTAATCAGCACACTAACAAGTTATCAGCACACAAATGAGTTAATCAGCACACTGACAAGTTATCAGCACACTAAAGAGTTAATCTGCACACTAACGAGTTCATCAGCACACTAACAAGTTCATCAGCACATTAATGAGTTCATCAGCATAATAACAAGTTAATAGGCACACTAACAAGTTAATGAGCATGCTAATGAGTCAATTAGCACACTAATGAGTTAATCAGCAGACTAACAAGTTAATCAGTACACTAATGAGTTAATCAGCACACTAACGAGTTAATCTGCACACTAACGAGTTCATCAGCACACTAACAAGTTCATCAGCACATTAATGAGTTCATCAGCATAATAACAAGTTAATTGGCACACTGACAAGTTAATTAATTAGCACACTAATGAGTTGATCAGCAGACTAACAAGTTAATCAGTACACTAAAAAGTTAATCAGTACACTAACAAGTTAATCAGCATACTAACAAGTTAATTAATTAGCATACTAATGAATTAATTTTAATTAATACCCTTTTACCCATTGTGTTGTAATTTAAAGCAACTAACCTGCAACAGTAAAATGGCAATCTTCTGAAGGCAGCTTTGGCACCAACATCACTACCTACAAAAATTAATAAAAATTATTACAAAGCATCGGTTTTCCTGCTAGCTAATCTAAGTATTGCTGTGTACATGTGGACCGATTGTCTACACACACAAGCATGTCTGTGTCGGAATAGGATGACCTATGCAGATAGTTGTGCCAGACTGTAAAGTATTATTTTTGCGCTGAGAACTTTTCGTCGTAAATGGCAGTTGCGCGGAAATGAAGGCAGAACATTTGAAAAAATTTTAAAAATTTGGAGTCTCAGCTAAATTTTCTGCGCGGGGAACCACACTTTACAGTCTGGTAGTTGTCTTTTTACAATTTACACAGACAAATTATCAAGCAAATTATAATTTACATGTAAGTATTTTAATTAATACCAGACTCTTTTCCTCCCCACTCAGTCTTCCATTCCTTGTTTGTAATGTATCTAGTAGACAAGAACCATAATAGTTTTATATATATCCAGCCGCACAAATATCAGAAACTTTCACATTTATATTAAAGACGTATAAACAACGAGCCATTAAAGATGTCATTTAGACACAAATGCATTTAATTATTACTCATATATCTTCTCTACTAAACTTACAGTTTATCCTTTTGATGCTGTCTTTTTCCCATGATAAAATGCTTTAAATTTCAGCCGACTTTGAAGGAGCAAAATTTGTAAAATAATATTTTATGAGTTATGTATGTTTTGATTTGAACTCTCTTCGTGGTATCTTTCTTCAAGTATTACCCGAGTGTCTCACATACACGCTGACCAAAGCATCAAAAACCAAGATGGCGGACATGAAATCTATTGTAGAAACAAAATTAACGGAAGAATTTAGTCCTGTACATTTGGTAAGCGCTCTGCAGTGAAAGTGGTTCATATTCATGCCTCGATTTCAACCCTAATCTAATTTTTATTGCTCCAAATTTAATATAGAATCATTCGCAACGGGCATAAAGCTACAAACATGCCTTAATAGGCTAGCTAGCTTTCCAGTTTTAAATGTAAAACTCCGCCAATTTTGTCTGTTTTAGGATGTGATTGACATTACTGCAGAGAAATGTGACACCAGTTTCAATGTGATTATTGTATCAGACAACAGTTTCAGGTAGTTGCAT